AAGGAGCCGTCTGTCGCCAGCCGTGTAGTATCTACCGTCTTCGAAGCCATCTATCTCTGGTGGCCTTATTCTCAACATACATCTCAAACCGTTGAATAAAGGTCCAATAATTTTTTGGATCATCAACGAAGCTGGATGGTTCCACCTTCGGTAGGTCCGGGCAATCAGCGACCGCGGACGATGTTGGCCGTGGATGCTCCCTCAAGTTTCCGAGTTTGCACTGAGGAAACCCTTCGAATGAAATATATTTCCTTTTTCTTTATCTTTTCAGACAGGAAGTTACGGACTACTTTACGCAGTGGTGGGTGCCATACTCAACCGCATACCACCGAAGGAATTCTGAACGCTTCGTTGACCGTGGCCATTTTCTGTCATGTGAAGACTGAACTGCACTGAAGGGGCCACTGACACCAATGGAGCCGGTGTTATAAGGGCTGGATCATTGTCCGCTATTAGAGTGGCACTTTCCTTCGAAGTGGAGATCCAGCACTTGCAGCACATGATCTTCAGGAATGGAGAGATACATTTCTCGAGCCAATCGTACTTGTATGCGTCGATTTGAGAGAATCTTTGGCATAACCACCCATCACACAAAAACGCTTTGGCCCTAAGGGCCACAGTCTTGGAGCAGGCTACACACGTGCACCTGGTTACCTAGCTTTTCTGGGACATTTTCCAATGAAATAGCTCCGATCAAGATGCACAATATCAGTAATTTTTCCGTGGGAATTGAGAAACTTTTGGATTTGAGAAGACTGGAGGCAGAAGACAAATCGGGAGGCTAGACGTTACAAAATGCATCTGAAACACGGTGAAGACTTGGATCAGGCGAAAGTGGGAACTGAAATATCCACCTTGGACAATAACACGATACTTAGTGGTAATCGGCTGTGGGTTGGACCAACAGCTCAGTGTCTCACAGTGACGAAACTGTTTCTCTCAAGTGAGTTGCCCTGTTTTTCCCTCGGTTAGTTCACCTACCTTGAGGTCCACTAGCTCACACCCTAACTCTTACCTTGAGATAGGATTGACCCTCTTTTACCATACTTCAATCCTTCCATAATAACAAATATGCATGGCTAAAGGTGCTTCACGCAAACATCCTGCGAAACGAGCAGCTACTCGCATGTCTTAATGAGCAGACCGCTGTGGCAAGCCCCCAACGCCCAAGCGGACAGATAGCCGATGGAATCCAACGTGAAACTTGCTACGCATGGTTTCACCTGGATTGCGGGAAACTCCCACAGGTACTATACAACAAATACTGTAAGGATGAGAGGCTAATTTGGATTTGCCTTCCATGCAGGGAGGTAATACGCAGGACCAGGGCCACAGAGAGGGAATTATCGGTAGAACCGGCAGAGATAAATGGCCGACAGGAAGAATCCCTGAGGGGTTCAAATGGAGGGAAGGAATCAAGTACTGAAGTGTTACCTCCTAATTGCGAGGGCGACCCCGCGGGTGCCAACGAAGAGGAGGAAACTATCAACAACCAAGGGGCAAAACAGGCCTTAAAACTAAAAGCGAGTCCAAAGAAGCGACTCGAGTTGGTGAATAGGCCAACTACGGCAGTTGAGCTAACAGGGACCAAAAACAAGAAGAATAACAAGAAGCCCAGAGATGGTAAAGACAAAATAGAAAACCAACAGTAGCAAACTGTCAGGCAAAATAAGGGATTAGAAGCTATGAAGGATAAGGTGTCAGCTTGGGAAAGAGAATTCCAAAATATAGCCAAAACCCTGCCCGAGCTCCAACGGACAACTGAATTGGCCTTAGGAAGACACAGGAATGTTGTTATCAGAGGCATTCCTGAACCCTTCATGAAAGAGGGGCGTCTGAGGGACCGAGCCATGAGATATCATGTGGTGAACCTACTCAGGTGTGCCAACTTGCCAGGCCATGTGGCTATCAAAAGGATATTGCGCCTAGGGAAATGGTAGGCTGATAGCAGCAGAGAAAGTGAACCGAGACCCGTCTTGGTAGAGTCCACCAACCCGAGACGGACTGGTTTCTTGCTGCGACTGACAAAATTAGGACCGCCACAAAAGTAGGTCCAACGGTGCAACCTGACGACAATGGGAGCTTCACGGAAAAATCGGCCACAGCCCCACCAGCATCACCGGGCTATCATACAAGGACACTAAGGCATCAACTACTGTTGGTAGACAGGATACAACGGCCGCCTGAGAGGCGCTTTTCAGCAGATACCCCTGTTATAAAAGTGCGCCCAGGTAAGAATCCGTTACTCACTAACCGTGGAACATCCCTGGCGGGTTCCAAAGCCGCAGAAAAACCCGGGGACACCGAGCAGAAAGAAAGTCTCACATCGAAGTGGACCAAAAAGGCAAACCCCTCAGACCAAAAAAAAACGGTCGGGGTGATCGGACCTAAAATCC